ACTGTACCTTTGCAACACTGCGGCTTAAGTCCTTCATTTTTTGGTCTTCTCACCGTAAAATTTTCACGTCTGAGCCTTTAATATTAAACGTAGACTCATCCCAGAAATAATGTTTTTTCCATTGAGATTGATTCCACTTAATATTATCGTTTCCGAAAGCCTTTTTGATTTTTTCAGATATAAATGGTTTTTTGATGTCTTACGGGCATGCAGACCAGCTGCCACTACTCGTCTACGCACTGATCTCGAGCTTATATCCAATGATTGCTCTCACACCAATCCAGTTGAACTCTTAAATAGTTGTTTTTTATTTCTCTCACAATTTGTGGATCAGTACGGGCTGAAAATTTTCACGGCCTTCATCCGTTATAGACTGTTACTACTGATCCAGTTTCAAAAAACCGACTTAGTATACAGAAATAATGATAAAATCACATAAATATTTATGAAATATTTCTCGGAAATCATTTTCTGTGATATGTTGTTTTGATAGTCACTGATAATTTGCTGTTTTATTAAGGTACTGTATTTGCTTCTAGCCATTTTTAAAATTTTTTTGGCCAGTACTTAAAAAACGAAAAGAAAAACACATACTGTTGTAAAAAACTTCTCAAAAAGGATTTATGACAAGCAAAATTGTCGAAGGAAGAAAAAAGCGATAAATATCACAGTAAAAATAACTGAAATTGCAGCGGTTATATGAATGTACAACAGACTTGCTTTTGTTTTGTCCAAGCCAAAATCGGGTTAATTGACTTTACCAAATATTATTTTTTATATAAAAATGAATTTTGGTTTTATGTTTTAGGTTTTTAAAATGTGAATAAAGTACCTAATTTAAAACAAAAAAACTTTCTCATTTTCTTAATTTTTGAAAAATTTACAGGGCATTCATTCTCCTTGTAATTTCAGTTGCTTTAGTTTTGGCCACCAGTGTATTTGGCTATAAAACCACAAGTGGCTATCGTTGGAGCACTCCAGCATTTAAATGTGAATAAATCTTTTGTATCTCATACCATCGCTCGTTACCGTGATACTGGTAGCGTAGCCCGACGTCAAGGAAGTGGACGGAAGAAAAGAGCAACATCAGCAGACATGGTTCGATATGATCTTATTGGCCGAAAAATGGCTCGTGAGCTGAACATATCGCAATATTCCATTCGGCAAATATTGAAAAATGAGCTCGTCGTAGAGCCATTAAAATTCCAAAAAGTGCAAGAACTAACACCGCAACAGAAAGAAAACAGACTCAAAAGAGCTAAAGAGTTGATTCGCTTGGGCGGAAGTGGTGAACTGCCCAATTTGATTTTCGCCGATGATAAAACATTCGTTATCCAGCAGTTTGTAAACATTCAAAATTATCGTGTTTACTTGCCAAAGAGGTCAGCTGAAAATGTGCACCTTCGGTTGGCCACCATAACTCAAGCGCAGGCCATGGTGATGGTGTGGGCCGCCAAAATAGCCAATGCTCGCTCTCCGCTCGTATTAATTGACCACGGCATCAGAATAAATGCCGAATATTACCGTGAAAATATTCTGGAGGGTGTATTAAAACCTTGGGTACGCAAACAGACCTTCGACATTCGCAGACCTTGGACATTCCAACAGGACTCAGACCTTGGACATTCCAACACAAAATGAGGTTCCTCGCATCATTTCCAGCGAACAATGGGCATCAAAAGTTCCAGCTAAAAATCTGTTGGACTATTGTGTCTGGAGTATTTTGGAAAGCAAGGTTGGCATTAAAAAATACCAAATTGTCGATCACCTCAAGCAAGCGCTTCGCAGGAATAGGCTAAAATACCGCGTACCACTATTCGGGCAGCGTGTGACGGTTTCATTGACCGTTTGAAGGCCATAATTCGTGCCAAAGGTGACCAATTCGAAGAAATCTAAACTTATTCTGAAATTTTATGCTATTTCCGACATTTTTTTTGCTTTTATTCAATTTGTTGCAGTTTTGTCATCTCACTCTGTATAGTACACATTTCCAAAGCCAACTTCATTCAAACTTATTTGCCAATATTGGTTATCATACCAAACTTTAATAATGCCAAATGGTAACCTTAAAGCTCGAATTTCCAAAACCCAGCCTTATCATACCATAAGTTCAGTCGTTTCATCTGGTCAATGATTCAAGATTAGCCAGCCAGACACTTATTTCTCTACTCTTAAAAAGCGTATCCGATTTGATCTAAACTTGGTACACCATAATGTTATTATCCATCTTAGATCGAGTTCGATGATAGACAATATCAGTCCACTCCTTCTAGTACCTCCCCCGCAAAAGATCAAAATTTGAATAATTATAACTCTCATAATATGCGAAATAAGCATTAGATTCTCATCAAATTTAACACATCCCAATATTTTCATTAATGCAAGATCTGGCGTGAAGATGATAAGTATTGGCCTAACCCTCCCCCACAAAGTATCACAATTGTATATACTTATATCTCTCATGACTTGCGAAACAAGGCATATTGTCTCAGTCAAGACTCAATATTTGTCTCAATCAGAGATACGATGTGAATATTGAATATTTATATATGTATATATATTTTTGATTAGCGTAAAATTCTATGACTATTTAGCCCAGTCCTTCCGTTTGTTGTAATCACGCTAGAATCAAAACGTATAAAGTTAGGAAGCTGAAATTGTCTATGCAGGACCACGTATTTGTATAGTCCCCTACAACGGTACATACTTTTATTCGGTATTTTGATGATATTAGCGACATTATTCGCCGAAATTGTTTCAATTTTTATATTTTAAGTTCGGCATCGTTACTACAGCCTATGACAAAAAATTACTTATGCAGCACCTCTTATCTTCGACGGATTTTTTTTTTTTGAAAAATTTTAGGTTCCTTCCGAATGATGGAGAGTATAAAAAGTAGACCGAACTAAGGTGCTTTTTGACTTGTTATATTTTGGCCCATTCCTGGGAAAGCGCTTGCTTGAGGTGATCGACACTTTGGTATTTTTAGTGCCAACCTTGCTTTCCAAAATACTCCAGACACAATAGTCCAACGGATTGTTATCCGGAGCTTCTGGTGACCATTGTGCGTTGGAAATGAAACGAGGAACCTCATTTTGTAATTATGTATTCTTGGGTGGCGCTTGCTGAGTGCGATGGTACTGAGTCCTTTTGGAATGTCCAAGGTCTGCGGCCCAAATACTTGCATGCCCAAGGCTTTTATACACCCTCCAAAATATTTTCGCGATAATGATCGGCATTTATTCCCATTCCACGGTTGATTAATACAAACGGAGAGCAACCATCGGCTATTATGGCGGCTCACACCATCACCATGGCCGTCGCTTGAGTTCTGGTGACCAACCGAATGTGCACATTTTCAGCTGACCCCTTTGGCAAGTAAACACGATCATTTTGCTGGACAACGAATGTTTTCTCATCGGAGAAAACCAAATTCTGAAGTTCACCACTTTTGGTCAAGCGAAGCAACTCTTTAACGAAGTAACTCTTTAGTCTATTTTCGTTCTGTTGCGATGTAAGTTCTTGCACTTTTTGGAATTTCAATGACTTTACCCCGAGCTCATTTTCCAATATTTGCCGAATGGAATATTGCGATATGTTCAGCTCACGAGCCATTTTTCGGCCACTGCTACGCGGGGTTCGATCTTTACTTTTTGAACCATTTCTGCTGATGTTGCTATTTTCTTTCGTCCACTTCCTTGACGTGAGATACGCTACCAGTATCACGGTAACGAGTGATGATACGAGACACAAAAGATTTATTCACATTTAAATGCTGGAGTGCGATATCATCAAAATGAAGGAGATATGAAAACATCGCGCCATATAGATAATTTAAGTGGTTGGTATCCATTACGAATTACACACCTTGTTATGAATATGCAACTTCAAATTTTAAAATGTTTTTCAACACTTTTATCATATTCCGTATATTCGCTGCTGGCAGATATGTCCCAGTGGTGAATGACGAAAATCTGAGTTATTTTTAATACCTGAGCAACATCTTTATGGTGATTGAGAATTAATTTAAGTTTTCCTTGGTAAAGTTTGTAAATGTCCAACGAGACTTCATGAAGATTTTTTTTATTAAGGATCTAAAAGAACCAATATAAAACTACAAAAAGTAATGTTCGAAAGTTCACTGATTATCTAAATTGTCAAACTGAAACAACATTCTCATTAACAAGAAATTTTTAAATACTTTCTTATCGCACAAAATCCCGATAAAGCCATTTCGTTTTATGAATACTATTTATAACGGAACGTCTACTTGCGTCTAAGGCTTTTAAAATCATAAAACTAGTAGCCACATGAAATTTTATAGGGACCAGCATGTTTATACTACGCCAGACACATATGTATTAATAATGAAGCTATATTATTATATTCTAGAAACAAAAAATAATACGTTTAGAGAAGAAAAAATAATTGAAATAAAAAAGAGAGTGCGAAGGCCAAGTAATCTCCGATTCTAAAATGCATGACTCTTGAAATTATTCAACAGCTTAAATAAACATTTTATGGCCTATAAGCGTGCCAGTAGTTCCCGTTTTCAAGTGGCACTTATGCCACCCAAACGTGATTATATACGTCGATGGAAGTCTTTAGTCTGACCAGAAATGAAATATTTGTATCACCCAACACAAAAAAACCGGAGTCATAATTTAACAATTTTAGAGAGAAAAATAAAACAGGCTTTAAAACATCAATTAAAAAAAACCCTTGATGCAGTTCCCATGAAGTCTTATGGATTTTTGAGAAATATTCTTAGTTAACACATCTTATCAACCCTGACATTTTGTTCCGCGGCATCACGTTGTTGAATTTTAATTTTTTGGTGGAATTCGAGCTGACAACAGAGCGATCCGTTTTTATTGAAGAATATATTCTAGGTATTCTTTTGCTTTTTTTTTTTTTTTTTTTGCTACTTTTTTTGGCAGAAATTTGTGAGCGAAATAAGTTTATGTTATTTCTGTCAAGACGATGGCGTTCATGTTTTGCATGCTTAAATAATCGCAAGAATCTGCATTATTTTTGGCGATAATAGCATTTAGATGAAAGTATAAAAACTGGACTCTTTGAAAAAATTGACATCACTTTCGTTGTAGTCTTCAAAACGATAACAAACACAAAATAAGAAAAATGTTCAAATTCGTAAGTGTTCTCTGCTAAGTGGTATTTAAGAGCAGTTGGAAAAAAAATGTGTGAAATTAAAAGTGCATAACGATAGATTGAAAACCACCTTCAAAAAAATATAAGAAAGTGAAAATCTATAAGGGCAACCAATTTGATATATAAAAATTGACACAAATTAGCATAGTGAAAATGAAACCTATATGAAATGGAAATCGTTTAAAGTTCCTCATATTGTTATGACCATATGAAATCTTCCGGAGAGGATTGAATGAATCTCTTTGAAAATAATACAAAAAATCAACTCTAAACTCGTTCAACCTGACCACTTGCATAAAATATAATTTCACTGTTACCGGTCCTTAAACTCCCTTTCACAGAACAACCCACTATCAAATAAAAATTTTAAGTGGCTTGGCGTTTTTAATCACATTTCTAACCGATATACCTATTTCTCAGAAAAAAAAAACATTATTAGAAAAAATATTTAAATGATATTTTCCGATTTTTAACATGGAAACCTCGGCTAGTCACTGGATAGAAACATTTGCTGCATTTTTTTCCAAAATATGTATTCTCTAATGATGGCACTTTCAAATTACAAATATTTAGCAGTCCCATCCATCCATCCCTTCTTATTTATTTATTTTTTTTTTTAATTAAATTATTTCTTCATCCATATTTAAAAATGTTACCTTTTTTCATTATAACTCCCTCTGTTTTCCCAGGTCGTAGTATTCGCCTGCTTCGCCGCTTTGGCTTTGGCCGCTCCCGCTCCCAAGGAAGAAAAGGAAATCGTTGAAATTCTGAAATCGGAAATTACCAAAAACGACAATGGCTCGTATCAGGTGGTTTACGAATCAGCCGATGGCAGCACTCGCGAAGAAAAGGCCACCATTACCGATGAGGGTACCGAAGATGAAGCTCTTGAGATCAAGGGTTCCTACAAATACATCAACGATGCCGGTGAAGAAGTTGAAGTGTTCTACACAGCTGGCAAAAATGGCTTTGTCCCATACGGCAGCATCATTAATCCCGAAATCACAGCCGTAGCTGAAGCTGCCAAAGATTTGCCCAAATACGATGAAGACTTTGGCAAGAAATCCAACTAAATCCGAATTATCTGAGATATGTGTAACGAATGTTTGAAACTGGAATTGGGGACAGGATATAACGCATTTCATCTCACAAACACAATTTGTTTAAGTTTTAGAAGATTAAGTGTGATTTTTGAAATAGTATTTAGTAGTAGTAAGCATGTATGTATGTATGTGTCAGCGTTATAATAAATCCCTCAAGATGTAAATCAAAAACTATACTTTGGGATCCTGCTATGTTTGGTATGGTTAAGGAAAATGACCTAATATGGGGTAGAAGAATACCGTTTTTGGGAGAAAATAGATAAATATATACTATCGGGAATGGGAAGGATTATATACATCATTCAGACATTCTAGTCCGTACAAATATAATAACAGTTTTATAAGTTAACGCTTATGACAGATGTATACCCTCAGCCTTATATAAGTCTGATATAAATATTGCAATGTGCCAGGTTTGAAGTATTTCGACTTCTTCCTCGCCTCCTCGGGAGATATTTGTGGTAAGGGTATTATACCTTTGTGCATTTGTTTGTAACATCGAGAAGGAAGTGAGATCGAGATAGATTCACTTTCTAAGTCGATTTATGCATGTCAGTACGTCCATGTTTTTTTGTAAACAAAATGCCGATCGCCTTAATCATTCGATTGAGATGGAATTTTTTAAACAATATTTGTTTATTGAATTTGGTTTTCTCCCATGAGAAAACATTCGTTGTCCAGCAGTTTGTAAGCCAATCCGTTGAACTATTATGTCTGCAGTATTTTGGAAAGCAAGGTTGGCACTAAACAATACCAAAGTGTTGATCACCTCAAGCAAGCGCCTCGCCGGGAATGTACTGCAGAGCAACATTTGGGCAGCGTGTGACGGTTTCATTGGCCGTTTGAAGGCCATAATTCGTGCCAAAGGTGACCAATTCGAACAAATCTAAACTTGTTCTATAATTTGATGCTATCTCCGACATTTTTTGCTTTCATTCAATAAAATTTAATAAAATGTAAAAATTATGGCGTTTGACTTTGTTGCAGTTTTTTATCTCACCCTTCATCCGATTACAGGTTTATTGTGCACCAAATGGCTAATATCAGCCCAAATGAAGTGAAGTGTGGCTCTTCCGACCAAATTTCCAATTTGATGTTTAAACCCCTCACTTTCGTAATATGCACTCCACAAAACTGATTGATACCAGACATCAGATACAACTCTAGAATACCTCTGTCAAATTTTATCGAGATCCGTTCAGCTTTTTATATAGCTTCGCAATACATCTTCGTCCGATTTAATATCAGCCCAAATTAGATAGATTTTTTCATTTTTCAATTCAACTAAATTTTTCAATTTGATTAAACTCAGTCCGGTATATCTGTTGCTCCAGTAAATATTTTTATACCCTCCATCATACATAGTATGGAGGGTATATTAAGTTCGTCATTCCGTTTGTAACTCGTCGAAATAATCATTTTAGACCCAACAAAGTACATATGTTCTTGATCAGCGTAAAATTCTAAGACGATTTAGCCCTGTCTGTCCGTCTGTTTTAATCACGCTACAGTCTAAACGAATTAAGATAGGAAGCTAAAATTTTGCACAGATCTCTCTTTCATCTGCAGGCAAGTCAAGTTCGAAGATAGGCTATATCGGTCCACGATATCGTATAGCCCTCATATAACGGTACCCCCGATATTCGGTATTTTGACGATGTTAGCCACATTTTTCAATGGAATTGTCTGAAAATACCCACAAGTAGTTCCTTGTGGGTACTTTATACCTCGGCAGAGAATTATCTATATAGGTCCACAATATCGTATAGCCACCATATAACGGTACCCCTCATATTCGGTATTTTGATGATTTTAGCCACATTTTTCAATGGAATTGTCTGAAATTCCACAAAAGGAGTCCCTTGTGGGCATTTTACCCCCTCAAAAAGAATTGTCTATATAGGTCCACGATATCGTATATCCCCCATATAACTGTACCCCCCGATATTCGGTATTTTGAAGATGTTAGGCACATTTTTCAATGGAATTGTCTTAAAATCCACACAAGTAGTTCCTTGCGAGTACTTTATCCCTTGAGAGAGAATTGTCTATACATGTCCACGATATCGTACATCCCCCATATAACGGTACCCCCCGATATTCGGTATTTTGATGATTTTCCCCACATTTTTCATCGGAATTGTCTGAAAATCCACACAAGGAGTTCCTTGTGGATACTTTATACCTCGCAGAGAATTTTCTATAGGTCCACAATATCGTATAGCCCACATATAACGGTACCCCCACGGTATTCGGTATTTTGATGATTTTAGCCACATTTTTCAACGGAATTGTCTGATAATCCACACAAGGGGTTCTTTGTGGGCACTTTCCCCCCAGACAGAGAATTCTCTATATAGGTTAACGATAACGTATAGCTGCCATATAACGGTACCCCTCATATTCGGTATTTTGATGATTTTAGCCACATTTTTCAATGGAATTGTCTGAAATTCCACAAAAGGAGTCCCTTGTGGGCATTTTACCCCCTCAAAAAGAATTGTCTATATAGGTCCACGATATCGTATATCCCCCATATAACTGTACCCCCCGATATTCGGTATTTTGATGATTTTAGTCGCATTTTACAATATAATTATCTGAAAATCCACACAAGGAGTTCCTTGTGAGTACTTTACACCCAGACATAGATTTGTCTTTATAGGTCCACAACATCATATATACCCTCATATATCGGCACCTTCCTATATTAGATATTTTAAAGATTTTAAAATAATTTTTAAGGGATTTTATTTTTTTGAACATTTTCTAATCCGTTCCAAATGGTGGAGGGTATTCAAAGTTCGGCCCGGCCGAACTTACTGCTTTTTTACTTGTTTAAAATAACCCTTATCGAAACCATCTATTGACTATACAGCAATGTTACTTGTTACTGTACAAAAGCCTCCGTCAAATTTATTGAAAATCAGAGTTGGATTCAGAGTTGGATATATTTCTCAAATTGTGACTACTCTGAAGGCATCCAAATAAGATTCATAGTTGGTATGATCTACTTCACATAAATTCCCAATATAAACTTTTCATAGTTTTCAGTTTTAAATCAAAACTCCAAATCTGTTGCAGATCCTTGGATTACATCCAGAATCATTGAAATTTGATACATGTCCACTTTGCTTTTCAGATGACGGTACCACCTGATATTTCGTATTTTAAGCATTTAAAACATTTAACCATCGAAATATACGGGCCCGTACGAGAGCCAGTCTTTCATTCTATGTATTGAAATTTGGAATTAAAGTCACTAATGGAGGGCGGTATTGATATACCAAAGGGTTTTTGAAAATTCAAACTTTTAGTTTAAGAAAAGTTCATAAATGGTACTAAATATCTAAAACGTTTTATTTTTTGAACAAATAGAACTAAAATCTTTAAATTTGGTATGAGTATCATGTTGAAAAGTAAGTTTGATATATGAAGGTAGGTTTGGAAATATATACTAAGTGTGCGAGCTGTACTAAATGGTATTACATTTGGAACAGTTTGGTTAAAAGTGGACGGATGAAGCTGGAAATTTGAACATTTACATTGAAGTCCCTTTTGGTGGTAGGTTTGTGATAAGGAGGTGGTTTTGGTAATGTGTACTACAAGTACACGAAAAGTACTAAATAGTGCAATATATACAATAGATAGTGCTTGATATCTGTAAATTGGTATTAGGGTCGCTGTTCATGTGTATTCTGGATAGATGGAGGTGGTGTCGGAAATGTGTGCTTTAATTGTGTGTGCTGGAAAAAAAATTGATATTACAGCCTCGGTTGGTATCTAGAATTGAGATATTGGGGTGGGTTCGAAAATGTGTACTATACTTGTTCGCAATGAACTAAGTGGTATACTATTGGCTATTGGGCTCTATCTATCACTTAGAGCTGGGATATCGAAATTTGATTTTGCGGTCTCTGTTGGTATCTGGTGTTGAGGTCTGGTGATTGTTTTTGAAAATGCGTACTATAATTGTTCGAGAATTACTAAATGGTGTAAATTTTGGATCACTGTTGGTGTCTGGAATGGAGAGATGTTGATTGTTTGGATATGCATACTAAATGTTTACTAATTTGGTATTGGGTGAAGGGAATCCCGAAATTTGATATTGATGACTCTGTTGGCATCTGGGATTGAGATTTAGATGTGGGTTCAGAAATGTCTTCTTTAATTGTGCGAAAAGTACTAAATATTGTATAGATGAAGGAAAGGAGCTGAAATTCTGAAATTTAAGTCGGTTTCAAGGGTTTATATATGGAGAGGTTGAAATAGTTTGGACATAAAATTGGATGTGGGTCCATTTTACAATGCTTTTACTAATATACCCCTCTGTAAACTTCAAAATGAAAGATTTTAAAGAATTTTTGGTGTAAAAGGTATAAATTTTCCTATCATTTTTCCGAAAAGGGAAAAACATGAATAATTTAAAAAAAAATTAAATTCTTATAATTTGTACGACCTAAGAAGTTTTGATTAACATCTTTTGTGAATTTTGAATACTAAAAAGTCCAACACGAGCTGTTGGAACATATCTAAAATTTTAAGGTGGACCTTTAGCTGACGATGTAGGGGGCATTTGCTAACTATTCATATATATATTCTGTTCACACTATGTTCACAGTCTGTCTGTTAGCCTGCGAATCACTCTAGCAAAAAAAATATTGAATAAAAGCATAAAATGACGGAAATAGCATCAAATTTTAGAATAAGTTAAGATTTGATCGAATTGGTCACCTTTGGCAAGAATTATAGCCTTCAAACGGCCAATGAAAACGTCACACTTTGTTCTGCGATATTTTGGCCCATTCCCGGCGAAGCGCTTGATTGAGGTGATCGACACATTGGTATTTTTTAGTACCAACCTTGCTTTCCAAAATACTCCAGACACAATAGTCCAACGTATTGGTATCCGGAGATTTTGGTGGCCATTGTGCTCTGGACATGAAGCGTGGAACCTCATCTTTCTAAGCAAACCATTCTTGTCGGCGCATGCTGAGTGCTGTTGGAATGTCCAAGGTCTGCGGCCAAAATATTTGCGTGCCCAAGGCTCCAGCCTTCCAGAATATTTTCGCCGCGGTCGATTGATACGAGCAGAAAGCGACCATCGTCTGTTATGGCGGCCCACACCATCACCATGGCCGGCGCTTGAGTTCTGGTGGCCAACCGAAGGTGCA